ACTATGTAATGTAAGTTTCAGTTCAGTGTCCTGATGGGCTTCCTCACTGTGCTGTGAAAAGAAATACCCTGGACTTACATGTGGAACTAGTCCTTTCAAGGTCAACAATCAAGTCTGAGTCCAAGTTTTCCACCTTGTACAGGAGTCATTGTGTGCTACCACATGCTGGTTTGTAGCTTCTACTCCAGAGTGTAGATAATGTGCAGAAACGTTTCTTTGGAGCCATTTGAAAAATGATGCTTTGATTATAGATTAGAGTTATTTCAGAATGGTTGAGTTTTGAAACGGGTTATTTTGATAGTTTAGAAATGGCATATCATTTCTAAATGTATGGACTGTATGGTCCCTGTGAGCCCAACCCATAGACGGTAGAAACTGATAAAGGAATGAGCTTTACCTAAAAGAATCTGGCCCTTCCCTCTGTCTCACAGTTGTCTTCAAGAAATCAAAGGCTCCAGGGTATGTGTAGGGGAGGTGCAGGTGTAAAATACCCTGTCAGAGGCTATATCTTCCAATTTAAAAAAAAAAATTTCAATATCTTCAGAAGAAAACCTCATTTTTGAATAATGTCATTAAGACACAAGTATAAATTTTAATAAAATTAGTATATCCTATTTTTAAAGTTATGATGACAGTTTCCCTTCCTGTGATTGTCAGTGGTTTGATATTGATGTATAAAACAATGAGAGAGGACTATGCTGGCATGTTACATCTCTCAAGAGTATCAAATTAACACAGATTTCTGTTTAACTACTGAATAGGAAAAACCTCTGTGGAGAGAGACTTTATACTGTCTACTCTCTTGGTTTGGTCTGAGTGTGGCAGCTCTGTAATACAAAAGCCTTGCCAGTGCCTGGGCAGGAGGACGTGGGTGGGAAAAGTGAGACCGGAGAAGGAGGGGCCTCCACAAGCTTCATAGTCCCCTCAGGCTTGTAATCACAAGAGGAGGGAGAAATCTGCTCTTTCAGCCCAGAGAGGCCACAACTGGTTTTAGAACTACTAAACCCCAAGAGAGGCACAAGAACGGTGGCAGGCAGTAACTGTGGCTGTGCCCAGAAATGTTAGTGCCAGCTGCTTCTCTAACCTGTGACAGGGCTGCTCCATCCTGCTCTGCTTCGGCTGCTACCCAAGGTTCGCTGCTACCAGGGTTCCTAGTGACTTCCGGTAGCTGAGTATCTGCAGAGCTCATTGTAGTCTTGGTGCATGAGCGAACAGGAAGTGACTCTGGCTGGAAACCCTTGTTGTCCTCCTTGTAAGCATTTAGTGACTGCTACCTATTATACATGAAGGGATCGTTTCTAATGATTTGTTTAAACTCCAAGCTTCTTTAGGAAAGGCGTAGTAAGTAAAATGAAAATCTTTTGACATTCCAGGAATATGGTTTCATTTGTGTGTGTGTTGAATTACAGATGCACTGGTGAAGAATTCTTGACAATCCAGGACATCGATCTTTCGTCATGGGGCTTCTGGAAGAATCATGTGGCCCTGGCTATTATAATGATTATCTTCCTCACAGTTACCTATGTGCAATTATTACTTCTGAAGAAAAAAAAAAACATTTTTAAATTCCTATTTAATTTTCTACAAATTACCCTCACATTAAAAAGGAACTCTTTTTGTGCTGTAACCTAGTTTAAAACTCCAGGGCTGTGGAGGTCTTAGAGGCTAGGAGAGAATTTATTACAGTTATTTAGCTAAAGTGACTTTGCAGCAAACTGACTTCTCAATGTTTATGTTCCTAAGACAAATGCTACACCCAGCCCTACCCATAGAAGCTTCCATTCACAAAGAACTGTGGTAAATTCAGAGACTCATGACTGCTCAGGGAACTGAGAATTGACCCTTGAGTGCTCAGCCACAAATAAGACACATATATAAAGCTGGAAACATCACAGAAGAGGGGACAGAAAGGATTTGTAAGAGTCTGAATGTAAGGAGAAGGGCTGCAAAATGCTATGCTCTGGGCATGACCCAGCCATTGCAGTCACGGTCTGCAGCAACTGCAGCTGCCTGCACTGGGCTGTCATCAGTCACTTGGGTCAGAGACGGACTCTTGGAACCATACCCCATCCTGCT